CCGTTCTTTTCACCCCATTATTCCAGTCTGAAACCAAAAATACAAAGAAGAAATCAATGATCAATGATGCCCTATTTCAATAATCCACCCCTCTTTCTCTCCCACAGGCCGCTGTGGAGATCGTCCTCAACGGCAAGATGGTGGCCACTATTTGGGCGGAGAGTTTCCCGTACTGGGCGTCCGCCTCCAACACTGTGATTCTCAACATGGAGACTGACGACCAGGTCTGGCTGGTACTTCTCAGCCGCGCGTCTTATCTGCACGGCTACATGTATACCACTTTCTCGGGTCATTGCCTCTATCGGGGTCTTTGACGAAGGCTGGGAGGAGGGCTCTAGGGCGAAGACACGCCCACAGGGGGAGGGGCTAGGGCAGGGGGAGGGGGAAGAGGAGATGGTGGTAGGGAAGGGGGAAAGGGTTTCGGAAGATTTGACTGACGGGGGGATGCATAGTGGGAGAGAAGAGGGAAGGGGGAATAGCGGTAGGAGGGGAGGGAGAGGGAGGGGGAGAAAGGAGAAGGAAAGAGGAGGGAGGGGAAGGAAAGGTGGGCGGGGCAAGCTTGGTGACGTAGATATTGAGGGCGTGGCGGATGATGTGGTGAATCAGAACGACAAGTCGAAGCCTGACCTCGTGATTGAGGTCATGGTGGAGAACGAGAAGGGGAAGAACCATGACGTCAGCGGGGGTGATGGGAATAATCGGGAGAAAAACGTTGTCTATTACGAAAGGAACGGCGCGTACAGTACTTCAAATCAGAGGGAACGCAATAAAGGAAAAGACGCAGGCAGAAATAACGAGCAAAAAACGAAAAATCCTACGCATTCGCAAGCAGCTGAAACTTCCAGTTCGCTGACGTCAGTTTCCGAAAAGGAGGACAACTTCAAAGACAGCAGTAAATGCCAGAGAGAAAATCCTTTACTCTCGAGCAAAGATTGTTTGAGCAAAAACAAAAACCACACAAGCAATATCCCCCACCATTCTCTCCCCGCTCAAGCCCTCCCTACGCAGCTAGCAGTCAACTCAAAGAGCGAGGGTCCTCACCAAGGGAAGCAACCGACCTCCTCTGGGAAGAAAGGGAGCGCGTCGCAAGAGAAAATTGTGGCCAACGGGGAAAACCAAGACGGGAGAGCCACTCCTAAGTCGAGTCAGATCAGGAATTCGGGCAGGAGATTCTTCTTTTTGGATACGCCCCTGTACATTATTGTTAATTGTCTTATCGTTGTGATGTATATTAGATTTTTTACTCAGTGAATAGTAAATAACACTCAAGTCAGTTATTATTATGGTTTATTATGATTTCTGTCGTGAATCGCATGCAATAACCACTCAACGGTGTACCATTCTGTTATAATTTTAGCTGGTTTTAGCGAATGAAACGTGTACATTTTATGATAATGCATTATTTGTGTTATTTTGCAAAATAATGACCCACATACGTGTAGTTTGATATTTGATATCAACTCTCTCAATGTTTATAAAGTATTGATCAATGTGTATTTGAGTTTCAAACAAGTTAGGTTGCAATCCTATACTATGCTTCTTTTTTATAAAGATTTGTTTGAAACTTTGAATTTGTACAAAATCGCAGCATAACAGCACCATGCTTTTCGTATGAATTAAGGTAACACTGCAATGCACTTTGTAGAGAAAAGCTTTCCTTCTGTGAGTTTAATAGAATCATTTAAAAAAATATGTTTGTTTCCTGGATACGTGGAGAAAGGGGGCAGTGCAGTTATGTCTTAGCACACTCCATAGGTGAGGCAGCGTGGTGGAATCAGGCTCTCGTCAAAATAATTAAAGTGAAGAAACCTGCATTTTTCCGCAGGTTTGTGAACTTTATTCAAATTTTTGTTTTTTGGCTCAACACCTTTCATGCCCATGAAAGAACTCATTTCTGTGTGGATTTTTTAGAAAAACTTTGATAAAAGGCACAAAAATGTAACTTTTCAGTTACCACGGACTCTTAAGCTGAGTATATAACTAATCTTTGACGGCCATTTTCTCACTAATTTTACTTCTGAAAACAAGTGACCCCACCTCCTTCTTTCGCAAATATCTCGACTTG